ATAAGTGTTTAACTATATACATAATAAAGGTAGGACATGTGTTATGTTTTAGCAGTTTTATATGATTCATAAGTGTTTAACTATATACATAATAAAGGTAGGGCGTGTTATGTTTTAGCAGTTTTATATGAGTCATAAGTGTTTAACTATATACATAATAAAGGTAGGACATGTGTTATGTTTTAGCAGTTTTATATGATTTATAAGTGTTTAACTATATACATAATAAAGGTAGGACATGTGTTATGTTTTAGCAGTTTTATATGATTCATAAGCGTTTAACTATATACATAATAAAGGTAGGACATGTGTTATGTTTTAGCAGTTTTATATGATTTATAAGTGTTTAACTATATACATAAATATGTCGCTAAAAATCCAAAATTAAAGAATTATTCTAATCCATGTATTTTGTAAGTTTCTACCCCTATATTTGAAACCTTAATTTTTGGACTCAGAACAGTTATTCACCACATTTCTTGTTTAGTTGCTCTGATGAAGAGCTAATGTTTCATACAAGTTTTTTATATTTTTTAATTACTGCTACTTTGTTCAAAGGTATACATTACTCTAGCTTTCTTTTATCTAATGACAAGAAGAACATTTGTTACAACTTACAACAAAACTTTTAAGTGAAATGATACTTCTTTTATTTTTCCATGAATTGAACAAGTGGTGTTTTACACCAAAGATTGGCCCAGGGCATGGCCAGGTGGTTAGGGTGCTCGACTCGTAATCTGTGGGTCACAGGTTCGAATCCCTATCACACCAAACATGCTCGCCCTTTCAGCCATGGGGGCATTATAATGTGATGGTCAATCCCACTATTCGTTGGTAAAAGAGTAGCCCAAGAGTTGGCGGTGGGTGGTGATGACTAGCTGCCTTCCCTCTACTCTTACACTGCTAAATTAGGGACAGCTAGTGCAGATAGCCCTCGTGTAGCTTTGCACGAAATTCAAAACAAACAACAGAGATTCTCTTGTAAATGTTTTATGGTGATCATTCACACAAATGCACAAACTTGCATATTTATAAATTGTACATTATAATAGAAAATCAACGTAAGATTTGATTTTGTTGTTGTTATAACAATTAATCAAGCTTCTTAGGTTTAATTGCCCAAGAACAATTTTTCTTCAAATTATCTGTATAGATAAAAATTACTTCTGAATACATGGATAATTCTTTTTTTTTTTTGAGGGGTATATTAATTAAGATATTTTATCCTCATGGATAAACTTATGAATCATGACTGTGCTACTGATGGTGGAAGGAATTTTTGTCATGGATTTTGTGAGTAATAATCATTGGGGGTAAACCATGTAGTTGTTTGGTTGATTTTCTGATCAATGGGAGAAATGAAAGATTGCTGATTATTAGTTTTTAAGTTTAAATCCTAATAGGACATTTTTTTTCCTTCTTTTCTTAATGTTAATCGTAAATGACGGATTCATTTTTCTAAATATTAAAACATTTAGTTCGTTTTTGCCTTTGACTTTTTGGTTCTTTGGATATATGGTTATAACCTTTTTAGTACAGATTTAAGATAACTAACTAACTAAACCTAGATGATAAAGACCTATCTATTAATAGTCAGTTGTGTAAAGCCTAATTTGATAATATTTTCTACTGCCTTTTATTATTCATAAAGAATGTAGTTGTTGAATGTATTAAAAAGTTTTCACAATTTTTTTTTCTCTTTAATAACCTTTTGAGTAGTTTGTTTTGAATATTCGTGCCAAATTACACATGGGCTATCTGCACATAACCATCTCTAAAATTACACATGGGCTATCTGCACATAGCCATCTCTAATTTTGAACTAATAGAATAGCTGTAGGATCAACAGCACCCTCCTCCAACTCTTGAGCTACTCTTATCTTACCAATAATGAGATTTGATCATCATCTTTAAGGTGCACACACACAGCCCCAAAATTCAAAGAAGTACATTTTTTGTGGGAAACAGAACATTAATCACGAGTCTTCAGACTTTACACACTAACCCTAGTCTAGTGTCTGTCCCCTTTTTTGAATAGCACAATGTTTTTCATTCCTTTGTAGTCATTATTTTGATATTAGTTTAATTAACAATCCCTTATCTTTGAAAAGGTGGGAAAAGCTCATCTCGAAGTTATTCATCTGATAGCCTTGCTGGTAAAGTCCCAGAGAAGTATTATTTAGTCCAAAATGATGACCTGGTCAGAGTCCGTTATTTACTAGTGTACACTGAGAGTCCTGTCAAAAGAAAAACCTGGTAAGACATCTGTGTTCTTTAAAGCTATTTCAGTATTGCTTCAAAAGACAACTGCTGTAATATTATTTCTGTGCTATCAATGATGTAAATTACTAAAACTTATTGTTTAAACTTGAAACATTTTCTGCTCCTGACATTAATACATTGTTTTAATTGTGGAGATGAATATGTATTTTAAAAGCTCAGGAAGAAATTAATTAAAAGTTCTCTGAAGTTCTGTATAATATATCATATTTCTTGCACTTTATTTCTGATTTTGTAGAAATTCTAATTCTAAAGAATTATAATTTTTCCGAATATTTTATTTCATGTTTGTGATATATCCATGAATGAATTTAAGTTATTTCAAAACCTATACTTTTGACTGTGTGTTGAATCATGTATTTGTCATCAAATGTAAGCATGGTATTGAAATGAATAACAAAATACTCAAAAAATTTAATTGATCATAAACTAATTTTAGATCATAAACATGTGCACATAACAAAACTTAACCAGTTTTGGCTAATATAACTGAGAACCTATACAGTTTCTTACCTAATCAAGATGTAAATCTGAGACCCTACACATTATTCTTAACTTTGTTTAGTGCAAACTGGAGTTTTTTACGAGACATTTTTATAAACTTGAATAAAATAACGACCTATATTTCCAGAATGTAACTTTGTTGACTCAATATACTTCGCTATTACTACTTTGTAAGTGGAAATTTAGATTCAGATTCAACTAGATTAGTGAACTTGTAAGAAATCGATAGCTCCTGAGGAAGCTGTAATAGCGAAATATTGAGCTGATAGGTTGTATTCTGGATATATAGGTCGTAATTTTATTTATGTTTATAAAAATGAGACATTACAAGTATTCAAAAAATAGATCTGAGATAAAAGAAGTTCGTTGAATAAGAAATTAATTTGGCACCTATATGTTTCTTAATAGTCATATAATAAATCTGAGAACTGACAGATTTTGTATTGGCTGGAAATAAATTTGAAATGTAGCAATAAACTTATATATGTACTAATATAAACAAACTATGTTATAGAAACATTGTTTACTTTTCTCAATATTTTCTATATTCTCAAGGGATTTACATGGTTATCTTGAAAATGAAGCAAATAAGTGTACATACGTAGGTAGTAATGACACACATACACATTTGACAAAAAGATAATTAACTGTGTAGGTCTAAAGTAAAAAAAAAGTAACATATGGAATTAATAAAACCAATTGTGCATAACGGACTGATTAGAAGTATTTAGTCATCTGTATGCCGGAAAACTAACAATTTACAGCATTTATTATTGTCATTATATGCTGAGTTTTATCTGTTGATTTGAGATTCCTAGTTTTAACAATATATTCGAAAGTAGATAAACATAATCAGTAAGAAAAATTCATATGAATCTTAAAATAATTAGTTTTTTAAAATTGTGTTATATTTGTAGTGTAAACCATCCTCGAAGCTGGTGGCATCAGCATAAGTTCTTCATCATGATGATGATTTACGGAGTAGCTCTTCTTGCTATTGGTCTGGCAACGTCCAAACAATTTCACCGTTTCTTACAGAAACTTTTTTTGTAGTTTTGTAGACATGGTTTAAATTTCATATTTTGTTTGTATTTGTAATGTGCAAATATATACAGGGTAAAGGGGTTTCCAGGGAAAAAATATTATAAATGGATTTAAAAGAATTTAGTATGACATATTTTTTGCCATGTAATAATCTTATGTGTATACTATTAATGTTTTGTAAGTTTGAAAGGTTTACTTAAATCTTGCATTTTGTTATATTCTTCATTTATATCATACCAAAGCATGCTGGGCCAGTCATTGAAAACCAAAATAAAGTTTTTCAACCAAACTTGTTATAATTTATTTAGATGAAAACAAAAAACTACGACATATAAGTAATATATTTATTTCTTCTGTCTTATTGGAAGTTTAGTAAATTTTTGTGAATGCACAATCAATAGTCTGAAGAATTGGTAAATTTTATGAAACAAATATTTAAAGACTGATCAATAAATTATAACGCAGGTATCACTGTTTCCAGTTTTTGTTACACAAACAATTTCATGACATAAACATAATGTGTATCACATGGCCTTTAAATTGTTTATTTGTAGTTATGCACAAAGCTACACAATGGGCTATCTGTGCTCTGCCCACCACGGGTATCGAAACCTGATTTCTAGCATTGTAAGTCCGCAGACATACCGCTGTGCCACTGGCGGGGTAATTTAGGGAAGTTTGGGTTCTCAAGGAGATATTCCTATTGACACAAAATATAGATGTTTTAAAATTTTATTTTCAGAAAAAGGCACATGGATTATGTGCTTATTGTTGTTTTGTTCAGCTAAAGGAAATTAATTTGAACGTAATAGTGACTTGTATATATCTTTTTAATTAGTAAATTAAAATATAAGTTTCCATATGCTAGGCCTAACCTTCTATTGTGCATTTAGTACTGGTAGATTTTAAGATGCAACAAATTATTAAACAAAACAAAAACTTAAGATAATAATGTTTAACAGTAGAAAACATAAAGGATGAACTCCTATCTATCTTCAACCCTTGAGAATCATGTATAAAACATAATTTTTCCTATTCAAAGAATGTAAAGACCCCATAAGTGCGCCTTAAAAGCCCCTGGTGGCTCAGCAGTAAGATTGATGGCTTATAACACTTTAATTTGACAGCCCGGCATGGCCAGGTGGTTAGGGCGCTCGATTCGCAATTTGAGGGTCGCGGGTTCGAATCCCCGTCACACCAAACATGCACGCCCTTTCAGCCGTGGGGGCGTTATAATGTGACGGTCAATACCACTATTCGTTGATAAAAGAGTAGTTCAAGAGTTGGTGG